GCTGGGTAGATGTAAGTTTTTTGGAGTTATTGTTTATTTGGCTTTGGTACCAGGGATTGAACCCAGGGGCACTTAACCACTGAGCCACATCCCTAATCCTCTTTTTAAAAAAATATTTATTTTTTAGTTGTACTTGGACACAATACCTTTATTTATTTTTATGTGGTGCTGAGGATTGAACTCAGGGCCTCAAACATACTAGGCAAGCACTCTACCGCTGAGCCACAACTGCAGCCCAAACCCTTTTTATTTTTTGAGACAAGATATTTTTATGTTGCTAAATTGCCTTGCTAAATTGTTGAGGTTGCTATAAACTGAGACCCCTGAGTTGCTAGGATTAAAAGCATACACCACAACGCCCAGCAAAGTTTTAAGGAACAGGATACTACTAAAAGTTTGGAATAGCTTCTCTGAGGTTGTCTGGTTTTCTCTCCAGAGACCCTTTCTCATCCACTTTCTATATCAAAAGGCGATAAAGCTCAGAGTTAAACTAACACAGTGTCTTAGTTGTACTTTGATTCCAAAGTACTATCTCTGCCAAAATATATCTTTTTCTATCCTTTAGCCTGGATCTATTGGCAATGAGATGAAGATGGTCTTGGAAAACTTTTTTGAAATTTTTTTTTTAAACTCTTATGTAAGAACAGCAAACAAAACCTCAACATAGAAGAAGGTTCAAAAAAATAAAAAATAAAAAAAGAAGAAAAGTTTCCATGAATACTAGGGGGAATTAAAACCCATGAGGGGATGCTGGTAAAATCCCAAAGTTCAGTTTTGTTGCTTTCTGTGCTATTCCCAAAGCCTTTCACTAGTAAAGCCATAAATGAGCCTCCCAACCCTTCCCACTTGTGGTTAGTCCTTCATTCAAGATGTCTCTTCACTTCATCCAGCTGATACCTCCTTTCCACATTCTGGACATTATACTACCTAGGTCTGTAGTTCCCCAAGCAAGGGTCAGGACTTGTTCCAGTACTGCTCATTGGTATTTATTTCCCCTGTTGGTATTTATTTTCCCTCTGACTGCCCTTTAGGTCCAGATATTTATCTTCTGGTAGTAAAAACTTAAAGTTTGAAGAAATATCTATGACTTCTTTGCAACCTGCTTCTTGGTCCTGAGAACAGTCCTCTTCCTCTACCATCAGTCATTATTAGAGATCTTTCCTAGAAGAGAATTGCCATTCTGGAATGAGAGAGTTGAGGAGAAGATTCACAGCAGCTTGTGGTTCACACTGATTTTTCAGAAGTATTTCCTTGTAGCCACTCTTCTTCCTGAGACGTTAAAAAAAAAAAAAAA